AATGTTGCCAAAAACTTTAGGCACATGAACAGTTCTTTGGTGACGGCATCAAGACCAGGAAATGGGCAACCAATACTACCATCCATAGTTTTCACTTGGAAATTAAAAAGTGCAATCACTGGTGGAATGAAGGGAACCATGCGAAGAGTATTCTCGGGGGACTTAACCATAACCAACTCTGCAACTTGATAAAAATAGAAGACGATCTTCAGGTACCCAGCATCGTGTTTATCACTGCTGTCTTCGTTTGCTGACGACTGTTTGCGAACGTTTTTGGTTTTTTTCGTAAACCACAAACTCTGCTGATATAACAGTGAGAAGATAGGAGGCTTAAAGATGACGTAAAGTGCAAAGAATATGACGTAGATAAACGATGCCACCCAAAACCAGTGATCATTGCATTTCTCTATTTTTCTGCATGACGTGGAATACAGGACTTCACTGTACCCAGCAGAACATTGGCCACACAGCACGCCTGACCTGTTACCATGACAAACATTGTAAGCTTGACGAGAGGAATGGGTTGGAGTTCTGCAGTATTCCACTGGACATGAAATGAATTGCAGACTTGGTGGTCTTGTTGAAATGCTGAAGCCCCAAAAGTTCTCTTTGGCTATAATGTTTCCATTTTCACATTTTGCTCCGTAGGGACATTTCAGGCACTCAGTGTCCTTGTTTATATCTAAACCACTGGTTGAACCTCGCTGTAAAGTATAGAAACCATCGGGACACTCATCACAGAATAATTTGATGTAACTGACGTTCGCCCAACATGTCTCGTCACCATCCCAGACAAGTTTCTCATTACCATCCTTGACAAGTTCAAAACCGGTTATAATTTTTTCTTGTTTCATTTGCCGTCCGTTCCGGCATCGAAGAGTAGAAGAGTTATCAATGTTTATTGAGCTGCACTTTGTAACTTCGAGCAGAGGGTTATAAAATTCCCTGTCGACGTTAGCTGTAAAAGAAGAACTTTCAATTGTGACGGGACCGACACTCTCAGAGCGGAGAAAACAGCCATAGCTAGAGACTGATTGTTTTACGTTAGATAATCGTTT